ATGGTGCTGGGAAAACTGGAAATACATGTGTAACAAAATGAATTAACCCCTATCTCTCACTCTGCACGAAACTCAAAGTGGGTCAAAGACTTAGGCACTAGAATAGAGAGACTGTTCCATTCCAAGTTTTTGGAGGAATCTCCATACCAATTTCCAGAGTTGCACTATTCGCAGTCCCACCAGCAAAGTATGAGTGTACCTTTTCCTCCATATCCTCTCCAACATTTATTGTTTCTCATATTCTTGATGATTGCCATTCTGACTGTATTGAGATGAAATCTTAAAAAGTAGTTGTGTTTTTTGGGAGGTGGGATATAAAATCAACACCCATAAATCAAACGGATGTAGAGCTACATCCCCAGCTCTATTTTGATTTTATTTAGAGAGAAGCTGTCACAGAGTTGCTTAGCGCCTCACCTTTGCTGAGGCTGACTTTGAACTCATGATCCTCCTGTCTCAGCCTCCCAAGTGGCTGGGATTAGTTTTGATTTGCATTTGGCTAGAGTAGTTTTGATTTGCATTTCTCTAGTTGCTAAGATGTTGAACATTTTTTTACATTTTTATATTTGTTTTAATTAAATATACATGACAGAATGCACTTTGATACATCATATGTAATCGAGTATAATTTTTCATTATTCTGGTTATACATAATGTAGAATTCCATGGATCATAGTTATATGTGTACACAGAGTAATAATGTCTGATTCGCTCTACTATCATTCCTCCCCCATACCCTCTCCCCTCCCTTCACTCCCCTCTACCTAATGTAAAGTAACTCTAATTTTTCGTAGCTCCCTCCCATTGTGAATTAACATCCATATAGCAGAGAAAACATTCGACTTTGGCGTTTTGGGGATTGGCTTATTTCACTTAGCACGATATTCTCCAGCTCCATCCGTTTACTGGCAAATGCCATAGTTTCATTCTTTAAGGCTGAGTAATATTCCATTGTGTATATATACCACATTTTCTTTATCCATTCATCTGTTGAAGGGCACCTAAGTTGGTTCTATAGTTTAACTATTGTGAATTGAGCTGCTATAAATGTGGTTGCATCATTGTAGTATGTTGGCTTTAAGTCCTTTAGGTATAAACCGAGGAGTGGGATAGCTGGGTCAAATGGTGGTTCCATTCAAAGTTTTCTGAGGATTCTCCATACCAATTTTCAGAGTGGTTGCACCAATTTGCAGTCCCACCAGCAATCTGAGTGTACCTTTTCCTCCATATCCTCTCCAATATTTATTGTTGTTTGTATTCTTAATAATTGCAATTCTGACTGGGGTGAGATGAAATCTTTTTTTTTTTTGGTACTGGTGATTGAACTCAGGGGCACTCGACCACTGAGCCACATCTCCAGCCCTATTTTGTATTTTATTTAGAGACAGGGTCTCGCTGAGTTGCTTAGCACCTCGCTTTTGCTGAGGCTGGCTTTGAGCTTGGGATCCTCCTCTCTCAGCCTCTAGAGCCGCTGGGATTACAGGCATGCGCCACCACACCCCACTGAGATGAAATCTCAGTTTTAATTTGCATTTCTCTACTTGCTAGAGATGTTGAACATTTTTTCATATATTTCTTGATCAATTGTGTTTCTTCTGTGAAGTGTCTATTCAGTTCCTTTGCCCATATATTGATTGATTGGGTCATTTTTGTTGTTGTTGTTTGTTTTTTGTTCTTTGGGGTTTTTTTTGTGTTAAGTTTTTTGAGTTATTTTTATATCCTGGAGATTAATGCTTTACACAGATGACCTCTTCTTATTCCACTCCTCTAATACACATACCTTTACCCAGTTCGGACCAATCAGAAATCATGAATTATTTAAATACTCCTTTATATAACTCAACAAAAAGTTTCAGGCTCTCAGGTTGATACCTATCTTTCATGTTCTAGTCCTTGTAAGGTTCTGTTGTCTGTTATTTTTCGCCAGTGCTCCATAAACCCTTCACTTATGAAACCCTTCCTCTGGGTCCCCCCTATAAAAAAAGTAATTAGACACAAATTTGCTGTAAAATTTTCAAGCATTCAAAAGTAAAGAATGGTATAATGAAACCATATAACCATCCTACAAAATCCAATTCAATAATTATCAAGATTTGCCTCTTTTTCTTCATCTATCCCTTCCTTGCTGGAGTATTTTGAAGCAAATCACAGAAATTTCTAAAAAATACATGGTCAAGAGAAAATTCTGAGTCAGTTATTGTAAAATCTATCAAAGTACTGAGCTAATATGGTGACCAATAGGTCACAAAAACTTTCTACTATAAGTACCATCAAGAAATGGAGAAGACAACCTGTAAAGTGTGAGAAAATATCTGAAAATCATCTGTTAAAAGAACTTGTATTCAGACTTATATAAGGAATTCCACAGTTCAACAATAAAAACACAAAAAAATCCAATTTAAAAATTGAGCAAATGAATATTCCCTCAAATCAAATATGCAAACGGCCAATAAACCCCTGATAATATGCTCAAAGTTATTAGTCAGTAGGGAAATCAAGACAAAAAAAAAAAAATCAAACAATGATGTACTTCTTCATATGAACTAGGATGCCCATAATTTTTAAAAAGTTATATAATCATTGGTGAGAATGTGTAGAAATTGAGACCTTAGTAAAGTGTTGAAAGGAATGTAAAATGGTACAGCTGCTTTACAAAACTGGCAGTTCCTTACAAGTTAAAAATAGTGTTTCATAGAAGAAGCAATTCCACTCCTAGGTATATACACACAAGAAATACATCCACATGAAACTTGTACATAAATGTTCATAGCAGCATTATTGATAGCAATCATAAAGTAGAAACAACTCAAATGTCCACCAACTGACGAGTAGACAGGTAAAAATGTTTTGTCACTGGAGTCAAGGTCACCAGAAGACAGTCCAGTGGAATTCTCAGAGAAGGGGAGAACTCTACTGAGAACAACAGTGTTCTTGACATCTGTGATGGAAAAGCATATCAGCACATGTCAGTATAAGCACAGAGACTTACCTAAGAAAGTAAAGAATACAGATTCAAGGGAGAATGCAGGCCATCTGGAGAGATGTGTTTTTGTGGTTTCTGGCTCTTCTTTAAAAGAAACTTGCTGAGGGATGGGTATGGTGAGGTATGTAAAAATATCATCAGTTTGGTGATCTCAAAATGATTTCTGGTGGTCTGCTTATTCTCAGGATCCTTCAGCTGACATGGTTTCCATTATCTGATGAAGAAATAATGTTGGGTTTTTAAAAAAATCTCATCTCTCTTTGCTTAATACAGTTATTGGGCTAATGAACAGTATACAAGTTAATTATCATAAGTGAATGATTTTATGGTAACTCAAATTTACATATTTCCCAGAAATTATGGAGTGACAGGCCTGGGAGAGAGAGTGGCTTGAGAGTGATAGGCCTGGAAAAGTATGTGAAGCTTTAAATTAAAATTATATTTCCTTGTCTTTCCTTTATGTGGCCTTTCTAGCTACTTCTTTATTTCTTCTGTTCTACCTCAGTTTTGTTTTATGCAATGGAATTTATTCAACCATAAAAAGGAAGAAAGTATTGACACATGCTGAAACATGAATGAACCTTGAAAAACATTATCCTTAATGAAAGATGCCAGAAACAAAATATCATTTATTATGTGATACCATTTACATAAAATGTCCAGAATAGGCAAATCCATAGGGATAGAAAGTAGGTAAGTGGTTGCTTAGGGAGTATGTGTGTAGGGTGAGGGTGGGGGGATAGAGTTGTTGCTTTGGGGTGATGAAATGTTCTCAAGTTCCTTGTCATGATGGTTGTACAACTCTATGAATACTGTGAATCTGCTGAATTATGCACTTTAAATATACAATTATTAGTCATTACAGAAATGTAATCAGATGCAAATCACTTGTATATCTCAGTAAATCTATTTTTAAGTTAAAAATTTAAGTGAAACTTTAAATTTTTATTATTTTACTTATTCTTATTGGTGCATAATTAAAAGTAAAAGTAGAATTCATTATGATATTTGCGCATGAACATATTTTAATCTCATTCCTTTACCTTCCCCTTCCCTTTCCTCCTCCCTTCCCCTGATCTGCTTACTCTATCTACCGATCTCTCTTCTATTATTCTTTTAATTCGTGTATTATATTTACATATAAAAGCGAGATTCATTTTGGTAGATTTATGCATGGACCTGGCATAATTTGGAAGATTTCTTCCCCAGTACTTTCTAATACCCTCTCCTCCTCCCAATCCCTTTCCTCTAATCTATTGATCTGTTCCATAAAATTTTAAAACTTTAACGTAATGACTTCAAAATTGATGTCATTAAAACGTAGTGTTTTCTTAAGTGTAGAAATCTTTTCTGATGGACCTGGGGAAAATATGAAGGCCTGATTGAGGATAAATAAAAATAATTGTAACTCAAGTATAGAAGGATTTAAAAATATTAAAGTCTGCAGGGTTGGGTGAAGACAGCCTCCATTCGTGTTCTAGGTCAGCGCTGTTAAGTTAGTTCAATTTTACCGCTGGCAGCTTCAGTTGTATTAGAGTTGCAGAAGCCGAAAACCATAAAGCCAGGTTGCTCATCCAGGTTAGTCAGAGTCCCAAGGTGCTCTTCCTGCATTAGCCTGGCTTCAGAAACAAGGAGTTTCAGGCGGGTTAGGAAGGCAGTGGGAGAGAGAGCCGAGTTGGGAGTCTTTCGAGTTTGAAGGAGAAGGGGAGAGAAAACTTGAAGCTTCATCTAAATATCCTTGTGCAACAGCACTCTTTTTTATGGAGTTTTTTATGGAGTAATAACGATACCCTTTCTAGAATGTTACTAAGATTAAAAAGAAAATATATCCAACTTATTTGGAAATTCGTGCCCCACACCAGCAAATGCTTCCCATCGCTGTGGTCTTCCCTAGGATAGCACTATCCGCAACGCCCGGGCCACAGCCATGGGCAGGCGAAACTGCGCAGGCGCGGTGCTCCTCGCGCCTTCCGGCTCGGCCTCGCTGGTGCGCCCAGGGGCTAGGAGCTCGTGGTTCTAGAGTCCGGACTGCCTGCCACACCGCAGGCGATTGTCGGCTGGTTGCCAATCGCTCGGCGCCTGCGCAAACGGAGGGCGTCCGTCACCATGACAGCGCCTGCCGGGGGCCCAGGTAAGCAGGGGTCCCCACGGCTTCCGGACGGGCGGGCTCGGTCCGAGTGCGCAGTGCGGCCCTGAGCCCCGAGCTCGCCGCCCGCCTTCCCGAGCCAGAGCCCGGAGTTGGGCCTCTCTGAGAGGCTCGTCTGGCGGCAGGGGAGTGTTTCAGGTCCTCTTAGCTCTCCTCACCTAGTTTTCCTTGAACTGAGCGGCTCCTGGCGGCCGGGGATGGGCGCGCGCCCACCATCCGCTGGGAGAGAACCACGGTTCCCGGGAGGGCGTTAAAGAAAGAGCGTTTAGGGCGCCTGAGAACGGCTGGTTTATTATTTGGAGATCTTGGTTGGTTTGAAGGGATCGTGACACTTGCCCAGCCCATAATTTCAATAGACAGAATAGGGAATAGCCCATGGTCAAGTGCGCTGCTGCTTTGGGAATTGGTTGAGGGTTGACAATGCAGGGAAGGCATGGAGCACGGCCTGCCACCTTCTCGGTGCACGACTTTTGCAAGCTACTAACTAGTGTATGCTGTTGTTTGACCCCTGGAACCAAAGGTGTTTTAAACCGCGGACGTCGAATTCCCCAGAAGGTTACAGTCTCTCTTACATAAGCATGAGTGGTGGCATTAGACAGCCTCGGTGGTGCATTCCTTCATCAGCTTAGATATTTTACAGAATGTAAATACAATAGGTGATCTTTATGGGGCATTTAAAGTATATTGAAGTAGGTCAGAGCTTTCCAGTACCAGGATTCGGACTCATCCCTAGTAGTAACTTTTTGGTATTTTCTCACAATGCTGACTTTTAAGAAAGTAGAGTAAGATCATAGTAAATATAAATTTTTTATCCTGCATTTTTCCTAATATCACCATGTCACAAAGATTTCTATAAACAAATAACTTTAAGTGACTGAATTGTTTTATCAAAAATTATACTGTAATTTACTTAACCAATTTCCTCGTTTCCTTTTTTAAAAAATTAGAACTCATGCAGTAATGAACATCTTTTTTATTATTCTTCCTCAATTCTGATTTTTAAAAATCTTATGCAAGATTTTTGTAACAAGAATTACTGAATCAAAGAATGTGAACCTTTTTTAGGTCATGTTAAGCCTCATAGAACGTTTAATTTTGAAAGTCCAAATCTCAAGACTAGGCTCACTCTCAAAAAATTAACCACTCTCATTATTAAGCTGTAAAAATAGAGATTTTCCTGAATTAGTGCAAGGTTTGCAAAATGTTGGAATAAATGTGTGCTCAGGTGAAAATTTCCAGATTGTGACACACACCATTAAATAATAATAATGAATTCTAATCTCATGACCAGTTTTTGGCTTAGCTAATTCTTAACCAGTTTGTTTCACTAGGTGAATCATTTTCTTCCCTTAACTTTTTAAAAAATAATATCTTTTCAGTGTAAAAAAATTAAAAAGGCACAATAGGATTTTTAGTGCAGGGTTCCCTGCAGTCCCTCAATCAGTCAGTTCCTCTCCACACAGGCATGTTACCATTTCTTGTATATCCTTTGAGAGGTTCTGTGTACAAACCACATGTAAAATATATAATATGTTCATATATGTAATATGCATAGTCTTTCTCCCACTTTCTTTATATACAAATTAATTTTATAGCACTAGTTCTTAGCAGCTTAGAGAAAGTAAGTTTATTATATAGTTCTAAAAGTCTTCAAAACAGTATAATTCAGTGGTTTGCAGTGTATTCACAGACTTGTGCAACTATCACTACAGTCAATTTTAAACTATTGTCATCACCAAAAAAGAATTAAAATCCCCTTTATACCTCAAACCACAGCTGCACATCTACTTTCTATCCCTACCTATTTATCTATTCTGGAGGCTGGGGTTGTGGTTCAGTGGTAGAGCGCTAGCCTAGCACGTGCGAGGCGCTGGGTTCGAGCCTAAGCACCACATAAAAATAAATAAATAATTATCTATTCTGGACATTTCATATAAATGGAAATGTACAGTGATGTGATCTTGTCTGTATGACTTCTTTCATTTTGCATAGGATTTTTCAAATTGTGTTCATATTGTGGCATGTATCAGTATTTCATTCCTTTTCAGGGTCAAATAGTATTTTGTTGTATGTGCATGTGACATTATTTTATCCATTTATTTGTTGATGGACATTTAGATTGGTTATATTGTTTGACTATTATGAATTGTTGTAGTTAGTTTTGTGCTGCTATATAACAGAGACCATAGACTGGGTAATTTGTAATGAGCAAAAATGTATTGGCTTACAGTTTTGGATGCTGAGAAAGCCAAGATGGAGGGGCTAAAGGGCTTTCTTGCTATTTCATAACGTGGCAGAAGGAGCATAGCTGAAGAGCAGCAGGAGACAGAAAAATACAGTGAGGGAGTACAAGACAGAGTGAGCCTATTCCTATTATAAGGACATTAATCCGTTCATGAGGGTGGTGCCCCCATGAGCCAAACACGTCCCATTAGGCCTTACCTCTCAACCCCACTACCTTGGGGATGAAGTTTATAATACATGAACCTTGGAAGATGCATTCAAACCATAATATGAATAATGCTGTGGTGAACATTTGTGTGCAAGTCTTTGTGTGACTATATGGCAGATAATTTTTAATGGTGAATCTGGTAGACACACTAGAAGTAACTAGAAGTAACTTTAATGATTGTCTAGTCCAGAGGTCAGCAAGCTTTAAAAAAATAATTTATTACCTCACATACTAATCATTTATGATAAGAACATTTAACTCTTCTCCCAGAGAGTGTTAAAAATAAGGGAATTTGGGATGAGTATAGGGGCAAATGAGAACTCTGTATTTTTTTTTCTATAAATCCTAACTGCCCCCCAAAATGTCTTAATCTTAAGAAAACTGCAACTGATTTTGCCTTTCTCTTGGCCCCATTTTCAGAGTTATAGACTGCTTAAGATAGTAAAACTAATACCCTGGATCATAGGTAATCAGAGGCTTCTTAAATTCTAAAAATATACATACAGTCCCTGACTTAGGATGATTTGACTTATGATATTTTTGACTTTATATGGTGCAAAAATATACTGGTGCAAAAACATTCCATTTTCCATGTTCATATAGTATTTGATAAATTACATGAGATTCAACACTTTATAGTAAAATGGGCTTTGTGTTTGGTCATTTTGCCCAAGTGTAGGTCTTCTAAGCATGCTTAGTAGAGTAAGCTAAGCTCGGATGTTAAGTAGGTTAGGTGTATTCAGTGCATTTTTTAATTTATGATATTTCCAACTTACAGTGAATTTATTAGGACATAACCCTATCATAAGTTAAGGAGCATCTGTACATAGTTGTGGTTAAGTACAATATAGCAATTTCACTCATTAAAAGGGCAAGAACTTTTTAAAAATTTTTAATTTGTTATATATGACAACAGAATGCATTACAATTCACATTACACATATAGAGCACAATTTTTCATATCTCTGGTTGTACGCAAAGTAGAGTCACATCCTTCATGTCTTCATACGTGTACATAGGGTAATGATGACCATTGCATTCCATTGTCTTTCCTACTCCAAGAACTTTTTAATTCTAATGTTTTTAGATTCTTCAGTCACAGTATTTGTAAATGTTTCATCGGTCATTGTAATTGTACATAGTAGTGGGATTCGTTGTTACATACTTGTACATGCACACAATAGAACAATACAATTTGGCTATTTTGTTGCCCATTATTATTAATTTATAAATTGTCTTTATAAAACTTCAAATGCAGTTTTTAGTTGAAAGGTGCTACGGAAATATTATGAATCATTATCTAACAACTAGGTTCCATTAAGTAACCATTTCTTTAAGTCATTTGGTCTGTCTCAAAAACTTTATTTGTAACAGCCACATTAGTCACATATTCTATCATGAGAATATACTATAATTTAATTATCATCCTATAGTTGGACATTTGTTAGAACCAATAATAGGCCTTCTATAATGCCTGGCTTAAATATTTTAAAAATGATAGCTATGCACTGCCATCTAAGTCCGAAAAGTCTCTGACTCTATCCTGTATGCTAAGTAGGGCCATGCATGGTGTGTTGGAGACTGGGGATAGTGAATTCTCCAGCTAACCCTTCCTTCTTTATTCTATTGCCCATCATCTAGGGTGGTTGCTGGGTCCCTATGCATATTAGTTAGAAGTTTAATTATTTGCTCCTCTGTTCACTGATAAAATATTATTTTTATTTATAGTTTCTGATAGCCTTTTTAAGGTTTGTAACTGTTGTTAGAGTTCAAATAACTTACACATAGGGAATTTGTAAGCAATGTTTAAGTGTAAAAAACAATAATTAGGGATGTTAATATTATGAGAAACTCTTTTTATGGTGTGGGAGATCAAACTCAGGGCCTCACATGTTTTTTTTCCTCTTTTTTTGCTTTTTAAAGCTTTCAAAAAAGTTCTATATTAGAAAATGGCATAGTATGGAGTTAGCCTGGATACAAGTATTTTTTGCCACCACCTGCCTTAGTCTCAGTTAACTTTCATTTTAAAATATATAATTATGAAAAATCTGGTATGCCAAAAGTAGTTGATAGATATGAGAATTATTTATATTTGTACTTACTAGATAAATCTATGACTGTTAATTCGAGTTTACTTAATATGAGGGTCTGAGAATCATAATTTGAAGATAAATATGTAGCAAAATATGAGATTTGAATTTTATTTTATTTATTTACTTGTTTGTTTGTTTGGTGTTTTGAACCCAGGGGCGCTTAACCACTGAGTCATATCCCCAGCCCTTTTTATTTTTTATTTTGAGACACGGTCTCATTAACTTGCTTAAGCTGACCTTGAACTTGTGGTCCTCTTTCCTGGACCCAGTCTCTGGTATTACAGACCTGCACTACCATGCCTGGCCTGTCATTTGAATTATAAATTGTCAATAGACAGTAAGACTTCAGGTAGAGAAAACAATTAAATTGCACAAAACTTAAAAGTTTTAATTATAGCTTTCGCTTTACATAAATTAGGGTCACAATCATTAGAGGACATTGTAAAATATTCTGCTCTTAAATTTCTGCTTTTTACTGGTTTTATTTTTTTTCTACATTTTTTATGCTTCTGGTGTTCAGACCATCCTATATATCTACTAGTTATATTACTCGTATGTGTTATATACCTGTCACATCATAAGTATTCTTTGTTTTTTTAATCTTGTATTTTCCTCAGGCTAATTACTTTGTTATCCTCTCTGGATAAGTCTTCTGTTCATTTTTATTAATTTTTTTATCCTATCACCCAGCCATCCCTTTTCTGGGCATATACCCAAATAAAATAAAATCACTACCTCTTAAAGATATCTCTATGAACATTATTTACAATACCCAAGTTGTGGAAATAACTTGGATGTCTAAAGGCAGACAAATGAATCAAGAAGATATGCTATGGGCTGGGGTTATGGCTCAGTGGTGGAGCACTCGCCTTGTACATGCAAGGCCCTGGGTTCAATCCTCAGCACCACATATAAATAAATAAATAAAATAAAGGTATGTGTCCAACTACAACTATAAAAAAATAAATATTTAAAAAAAAAAAGAAGATATGCTATGTCCATATGCATGAGCATGCATTGGGTACATGTGCCTACGTGCACGTGCACACGCGCACGCACACACACACACACATACATTCAATGTAATATTATTCAGCTCTAAAAAGAATGAGATTTGCTATTCACCACAACATGGATGAACTTGAAGGACATTATTATGCTAAGTGAAATAAGCCAGACACAGAAAGAAAAAAAACTCATGACTTCATTCATATGTGGAATCTAAAATTTGAAATATACAAAGATGGAGAATAAAAGTGTGGTTACTCAAAGGAGGAATGATGAGATGTAGGTCAGAGGATACAAAGTGGCAAATACATTGGATGAACAAATATAGAGATTTCATGTTCAACATGAGGGTATATGTGATATTATAGTGTATATGTGATTTATGCTCAGTGAATAGAGATTTTAGCTATCTTGCCACAAAAACTTTAAAAATAGGTAACTGTATCAGATGACTGATAATGTTAATTTGCCTCAGCAAGATTTTTACTATCAACATGTATCTATATGATCTATCTTATTATACATAATAAAACATTTTAAAATTTTACCCATTAAAGAAACATTCTTTTTCATGTAAATACTGTCATTTTAGGATCTTGGAGTGAAAATATACTGGAATATTTTCTGAGAAATAACCGGATTACAACAGAAGATGGCGCTGAGATCATCTGGTATCATGCAGCTAACCACAAGGCACAGATGAATGAGGCATTGAAAAGTAAGTCAGTCCAGTTTCTGATGTTTGCTTTAAAGAGTACGTTAATTCAATACCTTTTTTTGATATCTAACCAAATTTTTTTAGTCCTAATCTAGCAAATTCATTGGACAAAGGAGAGCATTCTTCTCTCTGCTTCCACCTGAACAGTGAGAAACAGCTGTCTGGACATTTGTGTTTGCTAGAACTTTCTTCAAAAGGACTGTTCCAGAAATTGGATTTGGGGATGATGGTGGAAGTTAGAAATTATCTCTCAATTAAGCTGTACCCACTGACCTAGCTTTATAGGTAATATAAGTAATATTTTGAACCCCATCTACTAATTTGGCTACCTTATTTCTCAGAATTTTTTCAGAAAATGAAATGCTGTTTGTTGAGCCTTCAAACCGCCTCTGTAGCCTGAAAGCCCTGTGCAAACTGGCCTGTTTTTTCAAGTTCTCCTGTCCCAGTATGCTTAGTTTGTGTCTGTACCAGCCTTAGAGTCCTCTCATGGCCCAGCTCTTCTCCTCCTCTGACTGCCATATACATTCTTTCTGGAATGCTCTCTTCCCACACTTTGCCTGGCTAGCCTCTTAAACATCCTTTTGTATCAATTAAATTGCCTGTTGCTTTATGAAGACTTTTCCTGAACTCAGAATCACAATTCAGGGTAGCTTCCTGTACTCTTCCTTCACATGTAAACTTCTGTGTCCAATTTCTTTTATTTAGCATATTTTTAAAGTTCATTTATGTTCTAAGGTCTATTGTTATTTCATGTCTATTTATGATTGTATCATTTCATTGTATGTATATAGCAGTGTGTTTATCCATTCATCAGTTGATAAATATTTCAGTTTCTGATTTTTTGATACTTTTACTACTGCTGTGAACATTCATGTACAATTTTTTTGTGGACATATATTTGCAGTTTTCTTGCATTATGTGTCTATAGAGTAGAATTGCTGAGTCATAGTATGTTTGATTTTTTAAGGAACTGCCATACATTTTTAAAATGGCTATATCTTTTATATTCCTACTGTTGTGTAGATAAGGATTCTAATCTTTCCACATCTTTGCCAACGTTTGTTACTGTGCGTTTTTAAAAACAGCCATCTTGGACTGGGATTGTAGCTCAGTCGTAGAGCACTTGCCTAGCGTGTGTGAGGCACTGGGTTTAATCCTCAGCACTGCATACAAATAAAAATAAAGTTATTGTGTCCATCTATAACTAAAAAAGTTTTTTAAAGATAGTCATCTTGTGTGGTTTTTTTAAAAAATATTTTTAGTTGTAGATGGACACAATACTTTTATTTACTTGGAAAAATTCAAAAGTAGAACAATAGTTTAAGGTAAATTCATTTAGCTTCTTGGCATGTTTGCTCATCTGTAACAAATAAGGATTAAGTACAGTACCTGACATGTAGTAGTTACTCAGTGTTAGTTTTCTTTCCTTCCTTTTATCTTCTTTAAGAGGGACATGGCATCTCCTGCAGTTTTTCAGCATTAAGTTCTTTTATTTGGACAGGTAATGCTCATATGATAGAGGCCGATGTCATTCTTCCAAGTAATGGATCAGAGCATGCACAACCAGTCATGGCCCATCCCCCTGAAACAAACAGTGATAATACTCTACAGGAGTGGCTCACTGAGGTCGTGAAGAGCAATAAAGGCATCAAGCTGGATTTCAAGAGGTATTTGTACAAACATGCTACTGGCTGTTATAGAGTAACTTGGGGGGAAAATTAATAGCCACACATATGTCTGACTATCTACTTTTGTATCTTTTCCAAAATGAAAATGGATTTATGGACTCTAGTATGTTTCAGAGTGGACCTAAGACCTACTGAGCTGTTTGCTATAATTGTTTCTTTGAGGCTAAAGCTAATTTTTATAAGGGGATTTATCATGCATGATCATTCTGATAACAGAATGCTAAATCTAAAATTCTTTTGTTAATAAGTAGTCTTGGAAGGAAAGGTTCGGAGAGGTTTTTTTTTTTTTTTAATGTGTATTCAGTTTGATTTATATTGTTACATTTGTAAAGGGAATAATTTGGAACTTTTCAGTAACCAAAGAATTGCTTAAAAATACTATTTTGGAGACATTGATAATGAAGAATGAGGCTAAATGTCATTTCTTCTATGTGCCCATCATAGGAAATTTTGCTTTTAAGTATTTTGGTGTGTAAAAATTATAGGTAAAACCAGGAATAAACTGTGACACCAGAAAAGCGCACCATAAGCCCTATGAAGGCTGCTGCTATTGAAATCCAGGGTTGGCAGTAAACCTGTCTCATCTCTGAGTCATATTTTAAAATTGAGTTATCCTCTCTGCCCCCAAAAATAATTATTTGGAGATTTTATGGGATTTTTAAAGTGACTAACCATTTGTTATAGGGCTGACTATACCAATAAGCCTCATTATTATGTTGGTAAACAAATAAATATACAGAATCTTGACATACAGGGGTTTTAATTGACTAGGTTAAAGAGTTAAAGAGCTATCTTAAAATCATCAGGCTTTTCGAGTGATGACTGGTTCAGCTCTGTTTTATGGACAAAGAGACTTAGTCCCAGAGAGATTAGGTGATTTACCTAAGGATGACAGCTAAGCTTTGGCAGCTGAAGTAGCACCAGATCCTAGGCATTCTATGCACTATGATAAAGCATCTGATTGTTGATACTTGGCAGTTTAAAGTTTTAGAATGCCTTGCCTTTTCATGTGCTCAATTTTTTTGTATATCTACTATTGCCCCTTGGATTATTGACTGTGATCTATTCTTTGGCTCCCTATATATTAGCCTATTTATTCTTTAATTTTTTTTTAAGTTTTAGATGGACATAAAACCTTTATTATATTTATTTCTTTATTTTTATGTGGTGCTGAGACACAAACCCACTAGACAAGCAGTCTACCACTAAGCTACAACCCCAGCCCCTGTTTATTCCTTTGTGTGTGTATGTGGGGGTGGGGTGCTGGGGATTGAACCCAGGGCCTTGTGCATGCAAGGCAAGCACTCTACCAACTGGGCTACATCCCAGCCCCCCACTGTTTATTCTTAAATGCTAGCAGCTACCACAAAAGAACTGGGCCTCTGAAAACTGAAATTTTACAGGGATTTTTTCCATAACATTTGAAGGGGAATGAATGCAAATTAATGGTTATAAGAACACTTATTATGCATCAGACACTGTTCTAAGAGCATTACATGTATTTTTCATTTAATCCTCGTAACAATCCTAAGAGGTAGATCGTTGCTGCTATTCTCATTTTCCAGATGAGGCAATGGAGACCGAAGGGATAAGTAGCCTGCCAGAGGTCACATTGTTGGTAAAAAAAGCTGTCACCCCGATTGGAGAGTTCATGCCCCTAACCAGATTGCTGCACTACCTGTGTGAGAGGAGCTGAATGATATTTTAGTCAATGTTTAGTAGTTCTTATTTTATGCTTCTAGGTTACATGTTTTAGTATAAAAATAATAAGTAACATATGGTAGTTTTTAAATTTTATTTGGAGTTTTAGCCAACTCCAGAGTTTAAGCAAAGAATTATTTTCCCTTAAAATGTAATTTGAAGTTACTTATTATAATATCAAGTATAGTTTATGTTTTGTCATCCCCAATGTCTATATGAAACTCGTAGGAAAGTAGGATAAGATATTCAGTACCATGCTATTTTGATTTCTATAGCGATGTGGTATGTTTTGTTGTTGTTGTTTTCTGTTTTTGTTTTTGCAGTGCTGAGGATCAAACCTAGGGCCTCACACATACCAGGCAAGCACTCTACCACTGCGCCACATCCTCAGCCCACCTTAGTAGTATGTTTTGAAGTTGGGTCTTATGGTGCCTCTAGCTTTATTCTTTTTGCTCAGCATTACTTTGGCTATTCTGGGTCTTCTGTTGTTTCATATGAATTTTAGATTTGTGGTTTTAGCATGGCATTGATACAGTACAAGACAGGAAGAATTTAAAGCAGAGAAATGAGAGCATTTAAATTAGAATCTACAAAGCCAAACATTAGGGCTTCTTGAGCCATTAAAATCTAGGGCCTTCATTTCAGGAGCAGAAGAGTGAGAAGACTTGAATCTCTTTCACTCTGCTGTTATGTGGGAGAAGAGGAGTGAGAGACCAGAAGCTAAATGCTAGAGCCTGGCTTCTCTGGTTTATTTCCCAACTTACTGAAAATATTAATTTTTCCTCTTAAGGTAGGAGGCACAAAAGGAGTGGAGAGAAGAAAGATAGAAGCACAGATGGAAGTGTCCTCCCCTAAGACGAGGTAGAAGTGTGGAGAGTGTTGCTGAGTGTTCTCTCCGGCACCCACCTTGACAATGCTTAGACTTCGCAGCAGTTAACTTTCTTGGAAATGAGCATTTCTAAAGGTTTAATCTTAAAGGTCAGAAGATAGAATTAGAAATAGTGAGGTTTTCTAGTAGATTATGTGTATAATTTTAAAAAGTAAAAGTGATGTTGGCTCATTAAAACCTTATTGTTTTAAAGTACATAGGTGTCAGCTACAGTAGATGTAGGGAGAAAAGAAAAAAAAAAAAAAGAAGCAGCCTTTCAATTTAACTAAAATATCCTTGTCTCTAGTTTATAGAATAGGTGCTTACAGTAAAAGAAAAATAAATGTGGAACTCATAAACGCTTTAAGGAAATATAATTTTTTTGCTTACTAGTTATTTTTAGAAATGTGTTTATGTCTCCAAATTCACCCAAAGAATACATAAGGGAAAAAAAAATATTTCTTTTTTTCCTTTAAGGTCTTGATCTGGTACTGGAGATATAGTGCCTGGACACACTTGGTATTTCATGACTGTGTATGTGTAGGTTATGAGTACATTTCACATTTATTGTCTTATTTATACATTGTCTGATGAGTGAATATTTATGTCTTATATTGTTTCACACTTAGTGATTCTAATATGGAGAGCTTTGAACCCCTATTTGGTCCATAAGTAGTGGAATTATTTATGTACTGATAGAACCTTTAAGTTCCTTTCATGAATAATAAGTATAAATCAACATTTTGAGATACCTTATCTTTCTCTTCTGTGTGTGTGTGATCTTTTATTTTATTTAATTCAGGTATTATTGTATTACATTTTTATTACAAATTCAAGAACTTTAAAACCATTAGTCTAAAAGAACTTCTTTTTACTCTAGAAATATTTCTCATTGATACCAAACTATGTTTTTAGTCTGGCAGCTGTGAAACCATCCATGATACTCTTAGAAAATGTGAAGAGGCACCTAAAGTGTCCCGTATGGATTAATGCTGATATTCTCCCTGGTCCAAATGGAAGTAACAAAGTAGTAGATGCAAAACCATTTATAGACACCGTGACATCCTTCTTTCCAGATGTGACATTTTCCTTGGGTTGGACAACAGGATGGCATCCTGAGAAGGTCAATGAAGGTGATAATGCTAATAATTTATTTTTGTTGGTCAAATTAAAATATCCTTCAATTATAAAAATAACATCTTTAATATAAAGTAAAAAAAAAAATCATCCCATAAAATGTAAGAGCTTAATGGAGAGAAAGACCTGACCCAACAGGTATGTGTATGACCCTTCTGTTATTTTAGATAGATACTGTGTGTATGGTAGTATCTTATCACAGAACTTCCGTGGCAAATATTTATTTGCAAAGTCCAGAATAACCAAAGTTGCCTCTTTAAATTCTTTGAACAAGTCCCGAGTTGGTCTCTTTCAACTTGTTAACTGTTTTAGACACCCCCATCTTCCTTAGAGCAAACTCTATATGTCAGATGTCAAAAGCTTTTCAAATGATATGAAACAAAAAGTGGTTAAAAATTTCAAATGTTTCAAATGATATGAAACCAAAAGAGCACAAGTTCTGCTCCCAAGTCATTGGACATGGCCCTTATTATGTTCTTTGTGGCTGACAGGAGAGTGGGAAGCCAGAAGACATTCTGTAGGCTGGATCCCTTCTTTTTATTCTTGTCTTTCTACAGGTGGACCTCACATTCAGTTTGTTCCTGGTTGTAACTTATTACACTATTGGGTTTATCTATTTCTTCACACATCCTATGTAGTGATTTCTAGGTAATCAGCCAGTAAGAAACTCTCTGGGCCATCTTACCCACATGGTAAATATAAAATCATCAACTAAAAAGACATTAGAAATTATCAAGATTGTCCTGTGGATTTCAGGGTGTTCAGTTTCTATTCACGTGCTTTTTCCTTTTCCACTATGCTGAGAATGGAATCGAGGGTTTTGCACATACTAGACAAGTGATCTACCACTGAGTTACAACCCCAGCCCCAGATGTAAAGTTTTACATCCATTACAAATTTAGAGTAACTACTAAATGTTACAGTGAGTAGTAACATTTAGCTAATAACCAACAATTGGTATAATCAAGAGAAAAAAATCATATACTTTAACCTAATTCCACTTTAATTTTCTAATAATTTAATCTTTATTAGATTAATTAAAGTATATAGCCTATAATTTAAAATGTTTGAGGATGATAAACTAGAAACTATCTGATACTGCTGTACTGGTTCTAAACTCCATTTCACTGTTTAGTCTAACTCTAGTCTTAGCCTCAGGCTGAACTGAATTCAGCCACATGTGGGTCTCTGGATGTCTCCAGGCTACTTTTCCCTTCCTAGCTTCTCATCATTGCCAACTCGGGCTTTATCCTCCCTTACTTCTTATGTTGCACAGTTTTTTTAAAAAAGAGAGGTCATAGGTTTATAATCACAAAGGCATAGCTTCTGTTAGCAGTCTCTTCTTCTAATGATAAAATATTATTTTCTAAAAACATTTCTATTTATCAGGAATTTAACTGCCAAACCAACATATTGACTTAGGATTTCTATACTGAATTTAACTTACAGTACTTTTTACAACCTACTTTTGAGTTGAGGGTAATTTTTAAAAATATTTTTCTGATGTTGTTTATAAACAGGCAAGTATGTTAACATGTCCTAACATGATCAAATTTTCCAATATTTCTTTTCTTTTTCTTTTTCTTTCTTTCTTCTTTTTTTTTTTTTTTTTTTGGTACCAGAGATTGAACCCAGGGGTGCTTAACCACTGAGCCACATCCCCAGCCCCTTCTTTTAAAATATTTTAGATACAGGGTCTTGCTAAGTTGCTTAGGGCCTTGTTAAGTTGCGCAGACTGGCTTTGAATGCATGATCCTCCTGCCTCAGCCTCCTGAGCTACTGGGATTACAGGCACTGTGCCTGGCACTATTTCTACTTTAGTTAAAATGTACAAATAATTTGGAATAGCCAAAAATAAAATGGATTTGAATTATCACTTTAACAGCTAGAAAATACCTACCACCTTATTTTGAGAAAGAAAATACAACTAGAAAATCTCAGTTTGTAGAGAATATTAATGAATATCAATGATATAGATATATCTAAGAGAAAAGCCTTAGAACCTTTAAAGTAAGTAAAAATAGTGTCAAATTTGTGTTTTTTAGAGAATAAAATTATGGCATTTGCAGGTAAATGGTTAGAGTTAGAGAATATCATGCTAAGTGAAGTAGGCCAATTCCGAAAAACCAAAGGCCGAATGTTTTCTCTGATAAGTGGATGCTAATCCATAATGGAGATGGGGTTAGTGGAGGAACTTTGGATTGGCCAAAGGGGAGGGAGGGGAGCAGAGCAGGCATGGGGATAGGAAAGTTGGTAGAATGAGACAGACATCATAACCCTAGGTACATGTATGATTGCATGAATGGTGTGATCCTGTGTACAACCAGAGAAGTGAAAAATTATGCTCCATTAGTGTACACTGAATTGAAGAGTATTCTGCTGTCATGTATAACTGATTAGAACTAATTAATTAATTAATTAATTTTAAAATTTTGCTTTTTTTTTTTTTAACACTTGAGAGATTAGTAAAACCTTCTTGGGTTTTTGTTTTGTTTTTTGGTGCTGGGGTTGACTCCAGGGCCTTGTACATGCTAAGCTCATGCTCTATCACTGAGCTGTACCCCCAGCCACAGTAAAATCTTCTTAATGTTTTAATTTTTTTCTGTTGAATTTGCTCTAGGGTATTTATGGCATGATTTTTATCTACATTTCCCACTTAAAACATTTCCTTGGGCTGGGGATATAGCTCAGTAGGTAGTAAAGTGTTTGCCTGGCATGCACTGGGACCAGGGTTCAATCCCCAGCACTGCAGGGAAAAAATTTTTTTTCTTGTGTTATATGTTTTTTAATTCACTCCAACTCCAAATGGAAATTTTTATGAATTATCTATGAGTTTACCTATAGATTATCTATGGATTTACCTATTAATAGGTAATTTAGTTTTTTTATTAATCAACTCACAAGATTCCAATCAAAAACTTAAATTTCTTTTCCTTTCAGGGTATAGTTGGACAATGGTGAAGGAGATGGAATATATATGCAATGAACTAAATCAGCCTGTGACATTCCCTGTCAGAGCAGCATTAGTTAGACAATCTTGTTCTCAGTTACTCTGGCTGTTAAAGAAATCAAACAGGTAAGTATTATTAGTTTAGCAATATAGAGTATGCATGTAAGACAGAAAGGGCATGAAAATTGACTATAGAAAGACAGTGTGAGAGAAAGAGACCGAGAGAATGAAAATAGTATTTAAGTGCACAGACTCCTGCATTAGCTGAAACTCCATGATGAGCCTTCATTTATTTAACATCCTATTCCACAGAAAAGTTTAGTAAATGTTTTCATCTTTTTATTATGTTATAAATTCACAAAATTTTATGAGTAGATTAAATAGTTTCTCTTTGAATTTCATCATAATTTCAGAAATCTTTTTCATATAAAATTAGTTGGACCACATATTAACTACTAAAATGTATTATAAAGTTAGATATATTTTAACAGTTTGGGTACTATGTTTTTAATAGACTGGTCAATAGAAAGTTTAAAAATAAACCCAAATCTATCATGTATAGGAAAAAGCTGGCATTGCAAATCACTGGGACAAAAGTTTAATAACTGATGTTAGAATGGCCATTTAACTGTGCAGGTAAAACAATACTGACAGCTTCCTTTTTCCTTCTCCAAAATAAATTCCAGTTGAACTAAAGACTTGAACATCAAATAGTAAATGCATAAAAAAAACTGGGATGGTATTTAAATATAGCAAATATATTTTTCTCCTTAGTACAGAAACTATAAAGGAAATTTCGATACATTTGAATACATAAAAATGGGAAGATTCTGGTAAAAGAATCCTTTTTATATATGTCAGAGAAGTGTAAAGAATTCTAACACATAGTTTTTATAAATCATCCAGAGAAAGATCTAGATTAATAAATTCATTAGATTGGACAGAGTAGCAGAAACTGACATAGATTACTAGAAACAGTGTAAACTGGCCAGTAGTTTCCTTAAGAGAAATTGGCAGAGCTATGAATTTCATCAGTGAGGACTTATCTTATTAGTGGAAGTTCACATAAGCACACAAACATAGGTACTAAGATATTCTTGAAGTATTTTAGTTGTGAAAAAGACTTGAGACATCCTAAATTCCTATCAGTCAGAAACCAGTTGAATAAATTATGGTACACCCATATGATGCAGTATTATATACTCATTACAGATAGTGCATTAGATGCTATGTTTAATATGGAATGTTCTCTAAAATAATTTTTAAGTGAATAAGGTACCAAAGTTAGGTGTAGTTTGATTCCATATGCATGGGAAAACAGGATGTATAAAAGTATTTTTAGATGAATTTAGAATCATTTGAATCAATGGCTGCTAGCATTATGTTTAAAGAGAAACATTAGATGGTACCAGACAATGTCCTAGTTAGGTTCTTTGTTTCAAACAACTGAAACAAATTCTGGCTAACTTAAGCAGGAAAGAGATTTATTGAACTACAGGGAGACATCCACTCTTGCAGTATCCTGTGATGCTATTAGACATTCTCTTATTGCAAACCCATCATTTATTTATTAACTCTGCCTCTGGTTTTGTTTTCATTAATGTTGGAGAACTGCATGGAAATCAAGTAGCATACTGTATTAACTTTTAAAGATTATTATTGAAATTAAAGCATTCAGTTAAATGAAAAATTGTAAATTCTCAGAACTCTAGAGCCCTTGAGAATATATTCTCATGCCTCCATCTGAGAAACATTTACAATATAGATGAACTATATTTTCATGAAAACATAGTACTCAATAATCAAGCACACAAGCACCAGAAGACTATGGGAAAACAGGATGTATAAAAGTACATGTATAAAAGTACACCACATTTGTGAGAAAATTCAGCCCAGGCTGAATTCCATTTCTGTACATTTTATATTGTCTTTTAACAGTGTGTCACAGTGCTTTTCAAATAGTCATGTTCAGTCCTATGGAACTTTCAACTTACAGAGACATCTGATAACCCAACAGACCTCAATTAAAAATAGATCTTTTAAACATAATCCACATGGGCCTGTAAAAGCTGAATTAACACAGAGTATTCTGTGGACATGATGAAAATTATTAGCTGCTAACTAGATATTCCTGAGCTGTTCAATGTGGCAGTTGATCTAAGAAATCTAAGAGTTTTTCCCCATTAAGCAGAAAGTATTTCTTAAATATCTAGTGTTAGATCTTTCAAACTGGAAAGTACTGGTTTATGCAGAAATAATTTATTTTTTCTATAGTTTTTCACATGTAAGTAGGTCAAAACAAAAAGCTATTTAAATTAATATTACAGCAAAGGTAAAAGTAATTTTTTAAAGCAGGCTTTTTTTTCCACAATAAAGTATTTTATTTTTCAAAAGATGTTGCAAAAAAAAAAAAAAGGTGTTGTTGAAACATATATTTAGGAACACCTAAATTATCTTCACCCCTTATTCTGAATTTATATAATGCATTTTAAAAGTTTATTTAAAATTCATTAATCCTTGACCCATATTTTCACAATAAGGGTGAGGTGTGACTGTTTGGAGAAAGTTTATAAGTAACAAATTCTAATATAAACAATGAATTACCACTATTCAGAATATCGATTAATACAGGCCAATGTATAAATATGTATAAATAAAATCTTCTAAAAATGATTTAGAAAGCATTTTAGGATTTTCGTTATATCTTAGGGTTGTCATTAGAAAAGTTAATTATTGTAGCACTGTACTTAACAAGTAATTATTGAGAGTATCCTAGTGAATAGGATGCCAAATAATAAATTGTATTTTATTATTTGTTTTAGTTTATGAAGTGCTAATTGTTTTAAGTATGCATTTTTATTCATATATTGTCTCAACCACTAAGAGTGTGTGTGTTATAAAACTTCCCTGTATGAAAGTGCTTTCATCTAGTTTTTTTCATATAAAAAAAATTGCCTAGCACTTGGCAGTCTCTATGGGGAGCTTTAAGCCTCTTTTTAGTGATATAATACAGATAATTTTCCTTTCTCATTCAATTTATCGCCTAAATATATGCTAAAGGAACTAGATAAAAATGTGTAGCTAAAAGAACACTAAATAATCACTACTAATGAAAAAATAATTTAGAATTCATTTCAATACCATCTTATTAAGGTACAAAGACAAATATGTTTGTATATTAATACTTAATGTAAGTTAGCATTATAATACATTTTCTTTAACCTCATAGTAGCAAATATTTGAAGTTAATATGTATATTGGAATATAATGCGTGTGTGTGTGTGTGTGTGTGTGTGTGTATGTGTGTTGTTGGAGATCAAACACAGTGCTTCACACATGCGAGGCAAGCACTGTACTGCTAAACTACATATCCAGCCTCTAAATGTTTTATTGAAAAATTTAGTTATATGTATGGATGTTTTTCATAGTAGCCAGCATAAAAGGCCAACACAAAATTAGTACAATTAATTTTTTTCAGTTCTTCTATGAGCATTTATTTAAATGATGTCTGACCTATAGAGTTAGACTACTAAGAAAGAAAACATTTGAAAATTCGGAGGTTGTATCTAGTTATTGTCATACAGCTACTGGTTTCCTTAAATTAAATACCCCCTCAAAAAATACAGTAGGAATACATGTCCTTTGAATAAAAAATACAAGAAATACAAAGATAAATGCAAAATGTCCGAGTTCTTTTCCCCACACACTGATCTCCATTGTCGGAAGCAACAGACTATAACCTAATAGTCTGGGGTGTGCAGAGACTGTCCATACCACTTTCTCCTCATGCTATTCCTCCAGGTGGTTGCCAAGTTCCACAGATTCTGCTTTGCCACCCTTCCTACCATCATCTCTTATCATTAACTGGTCCCCATGTCTCTAGTCTTGTCCCTTTTTAATCTGTTTCCACACTGCCACCAACCCATTCTAAAATTGAATGTTTTCCAAGATGCAATTCTGATCATGATGTCATACTTGCAAAAAAAAAAAAAAAGCCTTTTGGGAACTTTCTGTCACCAGTGGGATAAATGGCTTATAACTACTGGCGCTTAGAAATTGATGGTCCAAATATACCTTTGGAATTTTGTTATGGCTAGTACAATTGTTTTTTAGACTTACCTAGTTAATCTTTCTATGGAGTATAGGATCATTTTCATTCTACTAAGTTTCTAATTTTGTAGTTTGACTGTTTTTCTAATTATCCTATAGAAAAAACTATAAAACATTTTTGTCATTCTTAGAGTCCTGGAAGGGCTTATACTGTTTGAGATAGGAAGAAATAGTAAATTAGTTTTTTTTTAAATTAGGGCAAAATCACTGAGATATTTATTCAATCATTAGTGATTCAAGCAACAAAATTTGAATAAGATTCTGCCAGAATACTGAAGGGTAGAATTATCTTCATGGTGGATGTAGGTGTTTTAATTTTGTTCCTAATAATTATCTCTTATTATCTGATGTTTTGGAGCTTACATAAAAACATCAGCCTTGTTTATCTTGATAACCATGAATCCTCAGCATTTAGAACAGTGCCTAGCACACTTCACAGGGATTTACTAAACTCGTGTTAAAGGGAAAAACCAAAAGCTCATAGGCATTCTTTAATCATAGAGACTTAGAAATCAGTGCCTTCTGGAGAGAATGTTCTGGTTTTTAAATAGTTACAAGCAGCAATGTTAAACAAAGAGTTTTAGAGGTTATTTAGATTATTCTGGTGTCAGGTGCTGCATAAATCATTTTGTGGCATGCTCTAATGTCATTACTACATGATACATGACAAATACAATATAAATATATACAGTACATTATTTGTACAATACAATACAAATAGTATACTACAAAGATGTTATGGCTTGGATGTGTGTGTACCCCAAATGCTCATGCATGAGGCAATGCAAGAAGATTCAGAGAGGAAATGATTGGGCTACAAAAGCCTAAACCTGCTCAGTGAATTAACCACCTGCTGGTTAATTGAGTGGTAACTGAAGGCAGGTGGGGTGTGGTTGGAGGAGGTAAGGCATTGGGGGTGTGGGTTGGAGGAATATATTTGTATCTGGCAAGTCAAGCCTCTGTTTCTGCTGCCTGATCATCATGTGAGCTGCTTCCCTTTGCCATACTCTTCTGCC